AAAGGTAGTTGCTAGAACAAGTTTTTTCTTAGATATTTTTAGCACTAACAAGTGACAGCCATAATTACAGTCGTGATCAGGAGTGCGAATGGTACACACGAGGCTGCTATAAACGTACTATAAATATAGAATTATTATGATGTGTTTGTTTGATAAATTATCCCCCCCAAAGTTTTCATAACTATTAAACCATTCGTAATAATTAAGTGAAAGCTTGCAGGCGTGAGGGAGCTATTATTTACCTCGGCTGATCCCTGGAACACTATTTAACTCCAGTTTATTAGTGTACAGCCAACAGTGCAGGTACATACAGGTGCAGATGTAAGTCCAGGTACAGATGCAAGTCCAGGTACAGATGCAAGTCCAGGTACAGATGCAAGTCCAGGTACAGATGCAAGTCCAGGTACAGATGCAAGTCCAGGTACAGATGCAAGTCCAGGTACAGATGCAAGTCCAGGTACAGATGCAAGTACAGTACTGCTTCAGATACATAAACAACATGGATAAGCAAAACATCCAGTACACATAGAAAGTAAAAGACACACATTTCACTCACATTCCAGCAGTAACTTTCAACTGGGATTCTGAAACTCCATACGTGGGATTGTACGATAGCAATTAAGATTAGAGAGTTAATGATAGAGTATTAGATGCCGCTTACCGGTCCGCAGACACGAGGGCAATATAAGCAACGCCTACACTATTGTACCTTGTGATTTATGGCATACATTTCACACTGCAGTTTATGATGGGTGTGTGTGTGTGTGTGTGTGTGTGTGTGTGTGTGTGTGTGTGTGTATGTGTGTGTGTGTGTGTGTGTGTGTGTGTGTGTGTGTGTGTGTGTGTGTGTGTGTGTGTGTGTTTTAAGTGCCTGTGAGTGTGTGTTTGGTTTTACTTTGAGGGTGTTTGATTTTAAGTGCCTGTAAGTGTGTGTGTGTGTGTGTGTGTGTGTGTGTGTGTGTGTGTGTGTGTGTGTGTGTGTGATCTAATTTGGTCTGGACTGGTATTTATCCACCCAATTATTTTTTGCAAGCAACTGGTTTACTCGCGTGCTTGCCGAAGAACCTACAATAATAAACCAACTTCAATCACACCCATGAATCACTAAACCACTAGTTGTGCTCAAATGAATCACTGGTCAATTTGAGACAGACAGAGAGAGAGATAGATAGAGAAAGAGAGAGATAGAGAGAGAGAGATATATATTCTTTAACTACCATCCTTGACATCAACTCGTTCAATATCTCAATGCCAATTTCTTTAATAATCTCTTCTTATATATCACTGATTACCTGTGTGAAATACTGACAGGTAAACGTGTAATTAGCTAAATATCATCTACTGTTTATGGTGTTAATTTCTAAAGTCCCTCTGAAACCTGAAACCTAGAAATACACGTTTGATAAGTTGGCGTTTGGTGTACAAGCTGGCGTTTTATGAATAAGTTGGCGATTCATGGATAAGTTGGCGATTGGTGGCTTAATTTGGCGATTGATGGCTAATTTGGCGATGGATGGTATAATTTAGTGTTTGATAATTAAGTTGGTGTTGATAAGCAAGTTGATGTTAAATGACTAAGCCAGCGCTAAATAGATCCCCGTTTAGTATATTTCCCTCAGTGAGTTACCATTCGCTTCTTCATTCTTCTGTGATACTCTTGCCTACTTAGTCTTGAAGTGGATATTCTATTCTAAGATGAAATATATCCCCTCATGTTTATATCAAAAGAGCGAGTATATCCATCCACTTATCTACCAAAAGACTAAATCTGTCCTTAATGTATCTACCAACAGACTGGGTATATACCGTACATGTATCTACCGATAAACTAAACCCAACGTGTATGTAAATAGAGTTAATATACCCTCCCAAGGTAAGCATCAACACCCCGGCATGTCAAACACAGCTGCTGATCATTTACATAAACAACTTCTCAGTGTCTCCTAATTGTGCAAAAAAGAACGAGAAGATAAAAAGTGAGCCCCACACACTTATATAGTTCAGACAACTAGTTCACTCTCTTTGAGAAATGACCCCACAGCGTGAGCAGGTTCCTAAAGGTGAGGCTAAGAGTGAAGGAAATACTCGTAGGGTCAGATTCTCAAAGGTTCATACGTGTTTTTTTTTCTAACTGGAGCACTGAACCGAAGATGGATTATCAAAGGTTCTTAAGTTAAATTTCTCCTCCCAACTAACTGAAGCCAAGAACAGGGGAACGATTCTCAAAAGGTCTTACATTAATATTTCATCATAAAATATGCTGCTGTAGACTCGGATTCTTACTTTGATTTCTCTCTCTAACAGGGAAATGAGAGAACAGATACCATTACAATGTCTGTGTACAGTTTCACCCAAGAGTTCGTTAACTCCCCAAGCCAGCTATTGCTGCACTACCGGCTTCAGATGTTTGAAATTGTCTCAGTACCAACCAGAACATGAAACCGATACGAATGAATCTAAAGGTTCGAAGTAACAGACTCAAGTTCATACATCTGAAGCAGGCAGTGCAGCAAAAGTTGGCTGGGGGAGTTAACGAACTCTTGGGTGAGACTGTACCATTTTGTCGCCATTATTACCAATAATGTGTCGTAACTCAGGTGAGGCACCTCGAAGCGTTCTCACATCTCCTGTTGTATGATAAAAAAAATGAGACACGAACCCTTGAGAACCCCATCCCTGGATAATGACGTAATAAGCCTCAATTTACTCCTGGCTCGACCATCTTTTCGACTCCAGTGAAAGTAAGTATATTAACAGGCTGTAATTTGCTGTATTTTTCGTGGGATGTAACGAGCGATAATGGTAAAATAATGGAAATATTGGACTTCAGTGATTCATTTACTATTAGATAACTTTACAACCGAATAAATTTGGTGGAGATGTAATGACAAGCATACAGACTTGCTCACCTACGTACACGAACAGACATGCACCTATCTACACTTGGGTACACGTACTGTACACTCACCAAGAGATGCATATATGTACGTGCAGCTGCCTATGTAGCTACACAAACACACACACACACATACACACACACACACACACACACACTAGCATTTTCTTACTCCCTGTACATTCTCACGTTATTGACATATCTTAACTACCTGTACTTCCTTACCTTACTGGCATCTCCCAACTACTTTCTACTATCACTTGCATTTTCTTAGTACTTTCTTACCTCACAGACACTTACTACTTTCTCACCTCAGAATTTAACCCTATCTAATCGTGCTCTACCACCCTCTCCTCTCCTGAAAGTACCTCAGTGACACTTTCCTACTACTTTCTTACCTCACTGACACTTCTCTAGTACTATCTTACCTCACTGGCACTTCCCTACTACTATCTTGCCTCACAGGCACTTCCCTAGTACTATCTTACCTCACTGACACTTCCCTAGTACTATCTTACCTCACTGACACTTCCCTAGTACTATCTTTCCTCACTGACACTTCCCTAGTACAGCACTATCTTACCTCACTGACACTTCTCTAGTACTATCTTACCTCACTGGCACTTCCCAACTACTATCTTGCCTCACAGGCACTTCCCTAGTACTATCTTACCTCACTGACACTTCCCTAGTACTATCTTACCTCACTGACACTTCCTAGTACAGTACTATCTTACCTCACTGGCACTTCCTAGTACTATCTTACCTCACTGACACTTCCCTAGTACTATCTTACCTCACTGACACTTCCCTAGTACAGTACTATCTTACCTCACTGACACTTCTCTAGTACTATCTTACCTCACTGGCACTTCCCTACTACTATTTTTGCCTCACAGGCACTTCCCTAGTACTATCTTACCTCACTGACACTTCCTAGTACTATCTTACCTCACTGACACTTCCCTAGTACAGTACTATCTTACCTCACAGGCACTTCCCTAATACTATCTTACCTCACTGACACTTCCCTAGTACTATCTTACCTCACTGACACTTCCCTAGTACAGTACTATCTTACCTCACTGACACTTCTCTAGTACTATCTTACCTCACTGGCACTTCCCTACTACTATTTTGCCTCACAGGCACTTCCCTAGTACTATCTTACCTCACTGACACTTCCCTAGTACTATCTTACCTCACTGACACTTCCCTAGTACAGTACTATCTTACCTCACAGGCACTTCCCTAATACTATCTTACCTCACTGACACTTCCCTAGTACTATCTTACCTCACTGACACTTCCCTACTACTTTCCTAACCTCGCTACTTAGCTCTATCTTATCATACCCTGCCAACCTCTACTCTCCATACCGTCTAGTGGCCCTGGCCCTTGTGTTTCGTGATCCAACAGTATGGTATAAGCTGCCGTGCCCACAACCAATCCCCCCGGCTCCTCCGTCTTGCCCACTCGACCACGCCCAAACATTAATATCCAAGAGAGAGAGAAAAAAAAAGGACAAACTAATCACGTTAGGTTAGGTTAGGTTAGGTTAGAGAAACGCTCTCTTAGTTAACACCTTTACTGTCTGGTCATACTGCCGGCTCTTTTATGCCTTGACCCCTTGAGTCTTACCGTCACCAGATGTTGTTTTTTTTTGCTTTTGTTTGTATGTTGTAGCTTTTTTGTACTTTTGTTTGTTGATGTTTTTTTGTGGATTATTTTTATTATTATGGTGTTTTTTTTGTCCCCTTGTTTTCGTTAGCTTTTGTGATCTGTTAAGGAGTTTCTTTTTTGTTGTTGTTGTCTTGTGTTTGGACTCGTCTGGTGATCAACTCTTTCTTTGCTGTTTTGTAACTCACTTTGGAGGTATTTTTCATTTTATGTCACTTAAATATTTATCAGTTATTGCTTGTTTAATAATTTTTTTAACCTAATTTGAAGTTTTTTCTTTATCCTGTGATGTGACTCAGCATATAATTTGTTACTTGTTTGAAATTACTGTAAAATTTCTGTATATGTTACTTGGATTATTTTAATAACTTTGATTTAATATTTTTCTTGATTTTTGCATTTTTTTATGATTCTTTCCAGTTAATGAACTTGGAGTACTTGCCACCAATGGAGGTAAGTGTCTTTCAAAACCACGACTTTTAGTTTTTAGTTCTATCTAGTCTTAAGCAACTCCTGCCTTTTCTGACCAAACTGAGAATGTTGTTCGTGGGTGAGAGATCTTTTTTCTTTTTTTTTTACGTGGACTAATGCAGCTAAAATTCAATCCTCAACCACTTTTTGTCTTGGCTATGTTACTATGAACCCACAGGTAGGAATATCAATCAATTTTACTCCTTTTGTATACCGCGAGATTCACAGGTGTGGTGTCCATTTACAGGTAATTAGGCCGGGTCATATAAGCCAGCTTCAGGTATACTTAAATCATTGATCATTCAGACACACACACACCACACACACACACACACACACACACACACACACCACACAGACACACACACACACACACACACATACACACCTGTAGGTTTCAATATGTATTAGGCGGGTAACGCTATGGCTCACCTGCCTACTCACCTGATTTACATCTTAATGGTTCCGTTGTAATTAACAGCTTCCTTTATGCTGTGTTATGCTCTCGTACTGTTATCCCACAATAGCTCTGGATATAGTAACAACATTGAGAAGGATTCGGTTATGAAGGATTAGGATATTTGAAAGGGATTAACTTTGTTGTGAGTTGATAAGTACAGCATTTACCTGTGATTCATATGTAGTCATTTACCTGTGAGGAGTTAATTAGTTACATAAACCAAATTTTTTTCTTCTAGTTTCATAATAATTTATATTTGCTATATTTAATTGTAGTATCATACACTGGATGGGAAGTTCATCTAATTCGTCTACTATTTTGTTTATATTAAATGTTATGGTACTTGATATATTAAGATATTTTCCCTTAAATATCTGTTGACAATGAGGCCCCAGTGATACGGTGTTTATATCAAGTTCCTCACAAAATGGAGATATTTTGATTTGCAGTGTCATTTCTAGCTCCTGTAACTATAGATGTGAATTTTACTCAAGAGAGAGACCACCACAGCTAACCCCTTACACCCGCTACCATAAATGAGGAACTATGTGAGAGTTTTACCTCACTTGTGGCAGCTGGTAAAAGTTGGTTTCCTCTTCTCGTCAGGGTGTCGGGTTCCTGCTGTTGATAGTTTTATTGTGATTGAGAGTCTCCAGGAGCAAGCTGTTTGGCCTAGATAGGGAACTGAGGTCTTTGTGTGGTGGTGAACCCCATTTCATTTCCTCTGTGTGTGTGTGTGAAAGCTGGCAGTTAAGGAGTCTGGGACAGGGTACGGTAGGGGAGGGGAGAGAAGGAAGAGAAAGTAAAGGTGGAGAAGGGAAGAAAGGGAGAGATGTAGGGGGTGAAGGAAGGGGAGACGAGAGAAGGTATAAGGCAGGGATAGTGAACTGGTCGTGACTGTATAAGGTAACACGAGGGAGGGGATGAAGGGTAAAGTTAAGGATCATAAGATGGTGATGGAGGGAGCTTGACAGAGAAGAGGCGAAGGGTGAGGTAGTCGTAGGGTGATGGGGAGGAGGGATGATGTGACGGGTGTTGGGTGATGGAGGGGTGATGTGACGGGTGTTGGATGATGGCGGGGTGATGTGACGGGTGTTGGGTGAAGGAGGGGAATTTCGGTAACGGAGTTGTTGGGTGATGGGGTATTAGGTGACGGGAGGGGGGGGGTGGGTGTTGGGTGACGTACGAGGTGACGGGGCCGGGTGTACAGGTCTGGGGTCACACGCGTCAGTTTACGGCTACAGGAAGCGTCGGGTTGAGCATAAAATTGTGCTGTGTTAAAGTGGCTTTTTAAAAGTGGTGCCGATATTAATGGCGCGCGTGAGGGAGCCTCTAGTTGCCGGGTGAAGTTTTTATGGTTGACGGAGAGTGGCGTCACCATCGTTGTGGTCTGTTGGAGAAAACGACAGATTTCGGCCACTTTGTCTCCCGCAGTGAGAATGTTAATCTGGAATTTTAAAAACCTCGCAAGGTAAATTTTCCCATAACTGGAGACTAAGAGGAGGTATACATCTGGCTCTTTGGGACTACGACACTCACACACATGACATCCAGAATGGCACACAAATATCACCGAGATTCTTCCTTTATGAAACATCCCAGTTTACTTCAGGGGATCAAATAAACGTAAGAATCTTTGAGAAATCAGGTCCTGAGTTGCAATACATCAATCTAAATATTTACCTTATATCTTATATCTATCTTCTGTCACATTGTCTTAGTCAGTTGAACGATAAGACATAAATATGGCTAATTTATACAAAAACACTATGCGTGTCTTCGTGTCTCGGTCCGTTTACACCTTAAGTCGTGACTGGGGAAGGTTGAGGTTACTCGTGAAAGCGCCATTAGCAAGACGTAGTCCCCTCTGCTTCCCCAAATATGCACAGTGCCTCCCGGAAAGCCTATCATTTGCCAGTTGTGGTCTGGGACTAAACCACCCCAGCACCCACGCCCACACGCCCACACCAGTAACTCCCACTGACACTGACGCTCAAATTGGTGGTCTTGCTCTGTATGGGATGTAAATGCATATTCAATTAGGGACAAAGTACACCCTGTGGTTTTCTTCTCTGTTGTTTTGCCTTCTTTTCCGATTCAATTTTCAGAAAGTCCGGCAAATCCACCTGTGTGTACCTTTTTCTAATCTCTTTAACGCAACAACACACAACTGATCAATAAATCCCCCCATCACTGTTACTCTTCTATATCTAAGAATTACACTATAACTCTTACGTAGCATCACAATATATCACTTCCTTCACCAGCATAAAATACAAAGTGTGGTTCTATAGTCAGGCGCTGCGAGACTCACTGCGGGTCAATAACTCTGTGAAAGTCCCTCCCCTACAACGTCGTCTATCGCATTTACGTGACGAAGAAAAATACACTAATCATTTGGTAATAAGATAAACACACACTCTGAACGTGATGATTCTCCTCCCGCCAATTGAAATAGGGGGGGGGGGAAATTGGTTTTAATGGGGTGGAAGAATGGGTGAGAGCGGTGATGGGTGTGTGTGTGATGGAAGAGTGAGGGCGGTGGTTAATAGGATGATGGCGATGGGTAATGATAGGAGGTACTGCTGTTATGAAACGAGGAGAGTTGTGTGAGATGATTGTAGAGTGTAAGATGACTGTTGGAAGTGTGTTCTTTGTTTGACCTTTTTTTTTTTTAACGTAAAGGATTTTAAAGGCAGGTAAGGTTAGATTTCCGATATCAGGAGGAAAAGTAATAATATGGACGAGGAAAAAAATACAAAAAATAAACCAATTTTATCCCATTACACATAATAAGGGAAAACTAACAGCAAGCAAAATATTAAAACCAGATAAAAGATACTAAAATTTATCTACTTGTAATAAAACAGAAAAATATAGATTCAGAAAGATAATCAATCATCAATACAGTTACATGGTGTAGTGGGTAAAAACGAAGGTTGTTCCCCTGGATGAGGTGTTTTAGGGCCAAAGCTGCGAGAGGGGGGAGGGAGGGAGGGAACCACACGCGTCACACCAGGTATAATACACTAAGAGGAGCCACCCCCGCTTCTCTTTTGTTCGGCAGCCAGTTTCTTGATGTGCGCGAGTGACTCATGTTTGTCAGTCTCCTAATTTGCATTCTACGCTTTCAATTACCTGTTTGCTTAAACTGTTGAGTTGCGAGTCGAGTTGATTAGTATTATCTTTAAATCATTTTATGATCTCCTCTGTTTACTTCTTGAAGAACTAGACATGTGTGTCATGGACTTAATTGGACTACAAAGAGTGATTATATTTTATTGTGGCCGTGAGGAACATCGGTGTGTGGGAGACACTGGGAGAATATCTTCGTTTTATGGCAGTGTTCCCGCCTCATGATCATGTGTGTTTATGGTTAAAATATTTCTTGACACTTCGTTTGTGTGTTCATGCACGTGGGTGTATGGGCGTCATGCACGTGGGCGTCATGCACGTGGGCGTCATGCACGTGGGCGTCATGCACGTGGGTGTATGGACGTCGTGGAGTTGTTTCACTGTTTGTTTATAAGTTGATCTTTGATGTGTTCGAGTTGTTGTTGTTGTCTCCTCACCAGCTACATTGTTCACACCTCCTACTGAGTATACACGGCGGTATATTAGTTCGTTCGTCACCACATCCACCCAACTCGTCTTACCAGGATTACCAACACAGCATCCAACCTTAAACAATAAAATCCAGAAGACTTGTTTATAACCTGGCAAGAATGTTTGGTGTTGTTGTTGTACTCGAATCTCTTGTTGTTGTTTTCTTGTTGTTTACTCCCAAACCTCAGTGAATTAGCTTCAGGGTGACAATGACGTAAGTGTTTGAGATGATGATAGGCCCCTCCCTGTGTTATGAACCTTGGGGCTAAGTGTCCTCTGTTATCAGGTTTAGTTTACTCTGTCTTAGTCGTCCCTGAACGTTGAGTAGGAAGAAAAACCCGTCTAGTTCTTCTTTTTCTATTTCTTGCCTTTCCTTCTCTTCTTGTTCTTCCTCGCCTCCCCTCCTCTATTTCCTCCTTCCTCGCCCTCCTTATTCTTCCTCCTCCCCCTTACTAGCCATCACCTGCTGATGGAAGCACACTAAATATTATATCATATAAACCAAAATATAAATGCCTTTCCCGTTTAAGCAATTTAAGTCCAGAAATATTATAATAATTTGTTCCACAGAATTCCACTACTAGAGTCACTTTACTCAGCAAATAGTCGTAACAGTAAAGGCAACTGTAAACATACTGACCTGTCATGGCCTGAAGGTCTCCCTGCAGTATTACCTTACAGTATAAACCCCATAAACTGGCGAGCAGAACACACGCCAAAATAATCCTTGTGTTTGTACGATTATCGTAGGAGGGTGGATGGGTGGGTGGGTGGCAGGACTGATGCTCGAGTCAATAAAGCAGCGACAAATGGAAGTATTATGGACCAAGGTCCAGCTGGCCAAGAAGGAGGGCCAGAATTTCAGTTGGCCAACCTGGAGAATCAAGGTCCAGTTTAGTCAACGTGGGGAGTTAAG